ATATGAGGATAAAAATGTACCCAACAAATACACTTTGGGAAAACAATGAGAAGAAATTCCAACAAGTGTGCAGGAGATTTGTTATTAAACTAACATAATCACTTGAAAAGTACTTAATGGGACTTTAGTTTCCTTTGTAAAATAAACACCTCTGGTTAATATAAAACCATCTTGGAAGCCAGCAGAGTAGCTAGACTATGGTGTGTTGGTGTGCTGTTTGGACAACAGAAAAAAAAGAGTTTCTAAAAGGTATGGGCGATAGCAGTCAACAGATGAGATAACCCATCCTGCCCTGATGGTCACGCAAACACTGACGTCAACGTTTTGTGGAGAATGAAGATGCAGGCTGTGGGAAAGATAACGCATGTCCCACAGAGAAGGGGAAGGCAGAGAAAATGCATTCCAGAATATTCCAACTCATCCAACACCTGTGATCTGGAAGTCCAAGGGGAAAGAATGAGAGTGGAAGGAGTAGGTAAGTAGTGACTGTTTGTTAGTGGATCTCAGCCAGGGGCATGATGTGAAACAAGTCTATTCACTTTCCTTCAATTAAAAAGCACATCTTCTCCGCTCAGATCTAAATAAATATTAATACATCTACAAATCTACAGTTATCTTTTAATCCTCTTCACCATCAATTATTTCAAAACAACACAGTTTAAAAAAAAAATGGGAGTGCAGAAGGGACAGAAAGAAAGAGAAGTCCCCAAATTAAAGAATATGACATCTCCTTTCCATCCAGCCTCTTTCAGCAGACATAGTTCTAGAGCCGACATTAGATGGACCAAAAGGGGCTCAGGTCAGAGAACTATAATTTTTGGATTGGAAACTCAAGGCAATCACAATTCTTTCTCCCACCCCACCCCACCCCCGAAAATGGAATAGAGACAAACAAATTATTGCCAACTCAAGTAATCTAAACCTCAGAATCAGGAATGGTAATTCCATTGAAAATATTTTTTTTTTTTCATTTTCTTAAGGAAGAAATATATCTTTAATTCAGTAATTTCCTTCCTAAGTGGAAATGTATGTGGTGTTAAAGAGCAGTCATCTAACTGGGAAGAAACAAAATTTGGGTCAGGTTTGCTTAGAATAGCCTCTGAAACTTTTCTAAAAAATTTTGAAAGTTGAGTGAAAATTGTTGTGGACTTTGTATTAGAAATTACATAACTGAGCAACTGGAAATTCTAAGTCTATTAATAAATGTGTACTCAGCCAAAACCGGTTTGGCTTAGTGGATAGAGCGTCGGCCTGCGTATAGAAAGGTTCCGGGTTCGATTCCGGTCAAGGGCATGTACCTTGGTTGCAGGCACATCCCCAGTAGGGGGTGTGCAAGAGGCAGCTAATCGATGATTCTCCCTCATCGATGTTTCTAACTCTCTGTCCCTCTCTCTTCCTCTCTGTAAAAAATCAATAAAATATATTTAAAAATAAATAAATAATAAATGTGTACTCAATCTTTAAGGTAAGAAAAAATTACCAACAAAAGAAAAGCAGTAAAAAAATAAATAAATAAATAACAGGTTCCGAATGTTGTGAAAAGGAAGGAAGGAGGAGGACCCCAGCTCAGAGAGATGAGCGTGTATGTGGTTACTGTTGCAAAGATTTCACCTGGATATTTGTACTCTGCCAGGGAGGTAAGTCGATTATGTAACAACAACCTAACTAGGTGTTATTAGAACCTCAGCCTCTAAGAATCTAAGAAGATCCTCAGACATACATAGATCTAATCATTACATTGCACACCTTAAACTTACACAACGCCTTATGTTAGTTATTTCTAAATAAAGCTGCGGTGCGGGTCCTCAGGCTCTGAAATGCCAGGGCCAGATGTGCTGGTGTCGGAGCTGAGGGTCCCCGGCAGCAGCAGGACAACACACTTCGGTCATGAACACACTTCGGCCTGCTCTGGTCCAAGCACAGTGTGCAGACCCAGATGAAGGCTTCATGAGCAAACATATGGACAGGTGTTTTTTTTTTAATGATGGGTAATTTCCCAATAAAAGGAGCCTATTTAGAAAAAGAAGAAGAAGAAGGAGGAGGAGGGGGGGGAGGGGAGGGAGGAGGAGGAGAAGGGGTAAGGGGAGGAGGGGGAGAAGGAAGAGGAGGAGGAGGAGGGGGAGGAGGAAGAGGAGGAGGAGGAGGGGGAGGAGGAGGAGGAGGAAAAGGAAGAGGAGGAGGAGGAGAAGGAGGGGGAGAAGAGGAACCTAGAAAAAGAAAACAACAGGAAAGAATTAAATGAACTGGTTCTGAGTGCTTCTCACAGTGTGACTCAGGGAGCAACGCTCTAAAGAACATCTTCCCTGGCAGTAGTTCTTTACAACCAGCAACCTGGGCCCTGCCCAGACCTGCTGAATCACAGCTTCTTCGGGGGAGGCCCAGCAATCCCCAGGAATCTCATGCGCATGGAAATGTCAAAATAACTCCACTCAAGGGACATTAAACCAGGAATCTGCGCTTGGTATGCTAACCTCCCCACCGATGGAAAGCAAGCAGGAGCCAGCACTGGACCAGAACAAGGTCAAAGCTGTAGTTAAGAAAGAATGTTTTCAGAATCACATTTGTTTTCACCATGAGTGAAAAGAAAATAAAGATTTAGTCCTCTGCAAAAACAGACTACCATACTAAAATGTCTATTTTAATCATATTCGGATATTTAAACGTAAAACAAAATGAGATCCGTAGTTTTAAAATATTTCTAATATTGTTATTCAAAGTAAGACTTGTGTGTTTTCACTAATATATATCTCAGTCTAAGTTATGACTGCAGAAAGCAAGTCCCAGTCATTGTATATACATGAGGGTTTAAAGTCTCTAAATCTACAAACTTCTTTAAAATAGCTCACCTGTGAAAAGGGGATGTTTTTTCTCTGGACACTGCCTGTTACAGGAGGAAGCAATCTCCTCAAAGACCCTCTGCCCAGTTGCACCTGGACTCACAAGGCCCTTCATGCAGACCTGAGGGTGGAGCCTGGTGGGCAGCCCCTCACTCCGACCCTGGCGACTCAGCAGCCTCACAAGCCTCACTCCTCAGACCTGAGCTCTGTGTCTCCATCTTTGTCCAAATGGTCATTGACAGCAACTCCGACCAAGGACCCAAAATACTGAATAGTAACAGCTCTCTAATAAATTATGAGCCCTATGTAATTTTTAAAACGTGGTCACATTACATGGTGTGGTCAAGGCAATTCAAATGTGGGAAATCAAATGTTGATGAATTAATAATATATTTGATGTGCGTGAAAGGAGGAAGCAGCAAGGAAATCTTTTACAAAAGATCACTTCTGTAATTTGAACAATTATCTTCAATTTACCCATTTTGTAATTTCTGATTTTTAACATCTTCATTTCTTATACTAATGTCATTGAAATAAAGGAGAGGGAGGTGATGCAATAGCAGTTAGAGGAATATTTTAACATAGTGAAGTACTCCAGGAGACAAAACCACTTGTCCTTACCCATGCTCTACAGGTTTTACTTTTGTAAGTCCTTAACAGCCAGTAACTTTTAAACCAAAGACTTGGATTCTGATATTTTAAAAAACCACCTTTCCTTCAGGGGGAAGGGCACATCAAATTCCCAATAGATCACTTCTTTTTATAAATATACTTTATTGATTTTTTTTACAGAGAAAGGGATAGTTAGAAACATTGATGAGAGAGAAACATCTATCAGCTGCCTCCTGCATACCTCCCACTGGGGATGTGCCCAAAACCAAGGTACATGCCCTTGACCGGAATCAAACCTAGGACCCCCCCCAATCCACAGGCCAACGCTCTATCCACCGAGCAAAACAGGTCAGAGCTAGATCACTTCTTAAGGCAGTGACATTTTCAACATACTCAGTAATTCATCAAAAATAGAACACTCAGCCTGGCCTGCATGGCTCAGTGGTTGAATGTTGACCTATGAACCAGAAGGTCACTGTTTGATTCCGGGTCAGAGCACATGCCCAGGTTATGGGCTCGATCTCCAATGTGGGGCATGCAGGAGGCAGCCAATCAATGATTCTCTCTCATCATTGATGTTTCTATCTCTCTCTCCCTCTCCCTTCCTCTATGAAGTCAATAAAAACATATTTTTTAAAAACAGAACACTCAGACATATTAGCTTTCTCAGTCTGACATGTCACTTAACCCGTAAACAATAAGATCAGGTGCTGAGCAGAAGGCCCAGTGGGTTGCTGGCAAATGTTTAACAGCTGGCACCCGAAGGGGCAAAGAGGCCTGATCTGTATGCAGCATTTGCCAATTTCCATCCTGTAATTCTCCCACCATGACCATCTTCAAGCTACCTCTGTGATGTCATTGAATACAGAGATGGAACAGGAGGTCCACCATCAGATCTCGGAAGCTGGCCCAAGCCAGATTCAACATGGCACCAGGGGAAGCCAATGGTCACTGAAAACTGTCCCCTTGTCTTATGAAGACCCTCTACATACTCCCTTGCTCTTGATACTGCAGTCCTTACCCATCACCTCAGCAACGCCTTGTCCGGCTCTTGTCCCCCAAGCCACACCTTTAGAATCCCCTCAGGGGCACGAAAGGACATCTCCTATACTGCAACCACACGAAAGAGCAAAACGGGGGATGGGAGGAGAGGGGGGAGGGGGAGACTGCAGGTGAGTTTGCACTTAGTGGTGGAGTGGAGGGATTCCTCACTCGATGGCTTTATTTCTCCAGAAAGTAGGAGTATTCATGTTTATGCCATACAGTACAGATGAATTAATTACAAAGATAAAATGTTATTTTCTAGACATAATTACCATAATAAAAATGTTATTTTCCGGGTGTTTAAAAATCTACAATCAAATGAAGCTTTCCCATTAATAAATCAAAGGAATTAAAAGAATAGTGAAGGAGGGAGCATTTGGAGAGAAGTGCAGGCAACTCCCCACAGCAAGGTGACCACAGAAACGTTTCTGTGGCTACACCTTAACCCCGGAGGCACCAGATATACGAGATGGAGATGTCCGTGTGGCAAGCATCCTCTTTCCTTACCTGCTTTGGAAGTAACAAGCTGTAGTACAAGAGGCCGTCTTGTCACGATGCCTGATCCTCGAGGGAGAAAGTCTCTAAAAAAAAAAAAGAAGAAGAAGAAGAAGAAATAGATTGAGGCATTAAGGAATTCTGATGTCTTGTAAATTTATGTCACATTCCAGAATAATTCTCCTAATTCCAAGCTTTTCAATGTATCACATGTCTAAAGAAGGCCAGACCCATCTTATCAAAGAAGCATTTGCCAGAAGTAAAAATAAATAAAAGGTTGGGCCTCTTTTTTTTTTTTTTTTTTTTAAGTATTTTATTGATTTTTTACAGAGAGGAAGGGAGAGGGATAGAGAGTTAGAAACATCGGTCAGCTGCCTCCCTGCACACCTCCTGCTGGGGATGTGCCCGCAACCAAGGTACATGCCCTTGACTGGAATTGAACTTGGGACCTTTCAGTCCACAGGCTGACACTCTATCCACTGAGCCAAACTGGTTAGGGCAGGGCCGGCCTCTTATATTGCATCCTGAGCCATGTGCCTTATCCTGATGGCTGGAATTAAGGACAGTTTGCCTCTATTTACTGTGTACTGTCAATTAGCTTGTATGATCAGAGAATTCGCATTAACAGAAACACTTGATGCAGAAATTAATCCTTAAACTTTTTTAGAATTAAAAAATTCAGTACTCCATCTGACTTCAAGATCAATATTAGTACCATCAAATACTGACCATTATTAAAGGGACATTAGATTATATCTTCTAAATATCCTGAAATTTTTCTCCACATAAAACGCGAGACCAAGTGCAGATAAATATTGTGTGTGTAGAATTAATAGCAATATATATTGCAATGTAAGTTTGATTTATTTCACTCCTGACAAATGGAAGTTTTTAATAAACAAAGATGCATTTGAATGGCATGTTAATATAACTAGATCAATAAAACTGCAGCAAAGAAAGTATTATATAATCACATCTGCAGTGCCACATAAATTTTGCCAATTCTGTGGCGTCAAAGAATTCATGCACGTGCCTAAGACACAATTTTTAAACACATTTAGAATGCCTCACAACTTTGAGAAAAACCATCATTTTAAGAAATCACAGAGTACTATTCTATTCAAAGTATGTCTCTGACTGAATGCCAATGTTTCTCAAAAACTGGTTCTAAGACAACCAGATAGTGTTATAACCACTGATGCCCACCACCCATCCGGAACCTACAACTTCAGGAATATTCAGGGGTATTCAGCCTCTGTGCTCTTTAACAGGCTCGGGGGTTGCCAAGGGGGGCGGTCGGATGCTCACCTTGGATTGAGCACTGGCCTCCACTTAGTGGGTGAAAATGGCAGGGGGTGTACTGAGAGTTGTGTAGGAAACTGGCACACCAGAACTTCAGATGGGGTTTCAATGAAACAGGTAGAGGCCAGCAAGAAAGCTGCAAAAGCCTCTAGCTGCCCTTTAGAATGAGGAGTCACAGACATAAATTTAAGCACAAATTCCCCTATACCATTCATTTTGCTGACAGGGGAAATAACACAGAACAGCCTTTTTACTAAGTGAGTAACTTCACTCCTTAACTCCAAGGCCAAGTTCATTTAGAATGTCACTATACTAGTATGTGACTAAAATAAAGAGTGGTGAAGCTACCAACTTGTCTTTTCTCTAAAAAAATAAATAAATAAATAAAAAATGCCACCTGAAATAAAGATTATTTATTCATTAAAAAAAAAAATTGAGGAAGAAGTGCTAGGGAGAGACTGTGGGCCCTGCACCGGTGGGCACTGAGTCTGAAATCCAGTAGGAAGATACAGGCCTGCACACAGAAAAGCATTCAAGATAAACTACACCGCAGTTCAGGAAAGAGAGACGCTCCTTTTGAAAATGTCTGCATCCATATAGTTTAATATTCTTTTAATGTTCTCCAAGGACCATATTAGAATATCTGCCAATTTGGGTGGTTGCAATAACCATTTTAAATTTAATCAAAACGTAGAGAGCATCTACTCTGTTCCTAGAGCCAAAAGAGGAGGTTAATTTGATCATCAAACATATAAAGAAAAGAAAATTTCAGAACAGAGAGCTGGAGAGCTACTGGACCACAGATGTCTGAGCTATGGGACCACGGATGAGGTTTCAGAATGTATTGATGCCAATGAGAAACATATCGGTCTTAATGCCATTTAATGAATCAGTAAAATATTTTTTTAAGTCAAGGTAGAGAAGAAGGGAGGGAGGGAGGAAGAGGGGGGGAAAGGAGATCTCTTTGTGCTAGGTTCTGTTTCAGCTCATGCTTACGGCCATATATTGATAATCCTTTTGAATATCATTAAAGCAAAACAGAATGTACCAAGCACTTTAAATAGCAAATAACTACCATGTGTTTGTCTGAAAAGAAAGCCCACAGATACCTCTTACTTTTTTATTTGGCAAACAGAATAAGAGGGATAAACAGACTCAGCTATATCCAGGTCCCTACTCACTACTTCACACTGCCTGGCCCCTGGCATGGCTCCATTAGTCCTCCCGAAGTCCAGAGACTTGGGAACCAAATCTTGCTGTTTGGAGATCTCCCCTGACTTTACAGGATGATCGGAAGTGCAATGACACCCTAGAGAGGATTTCTGTCTGCTGGAGAGCGAGAGGCTAGCCTGGCATCTGGGAGACGCTCAGTATGTGGATCAGCAGCATGGAAACCACATGCCCAGCACAGGCTCCTGAGGAGAGGGCTGAGGGGTGAGCCCTCCAGTGACACACTGAGAACCTGGCTTTGAGTCCAGCCCTCGCACTGAATGGGCAGAATTCCCTCTAAACTCCGTCTCTTTTGCTACTAAACTGAGATAATCCTGTGGATCAAAGGAAATACAACATGTGACAACTTTTTAAAAAATATACTTTATTGATTTTTCACAGAGAGGAAGAGAGAGGGATAGAGAGTTAGAAACATCGATGAGAGAGAAACGTTGATCAGCTGCCTCCTGCACAACCCCCACTGGGAATGTGCCCACAACCAAGGTACATACCCTTGGCTGGAATTGAACCCGGGACTCTTCAGTCCACAGGCTGACGCTCTATCCACTGAGCCAAACCGGTTTCAGCTTCATATGACAACTTTTTAAAAACACACGTACCATGGGAGAAAATAGTACTGTTACTGTTATTATAGCTATGATATAGACATAGTATATTTTCCTTTATAGTGTAGCAGTCTCTTATCTAAAAAAAAAAAAAACTAAAAACAAAACAAAACAAAAAAACAACGCAACTAAGTCTCTACATACAATATACTTTTTTATTAATTTCTTTATTGATTAAGGTATCATATATTTGTCCTCAACCCCCCATTCCAATCCCCCACACCCACCCCCACTCATGCCCCCTACATACAATATTTTAACATTTCATGAATGGCGTTTGGAGGTGATGGGCCTCAAACCCCACCTGAACTGTTCCCTTGGTGTTGGCCAGCTGTACTGGTTTGGAAAGCTCAGCCTGATTCCTAGTCCCATTGACAGGGACCCAAGGCACTGACACAAACAACCATGAATCATTCAGTTGCCATTGAGTGCCATCATCCATGTGAATTTTATTATGTTCTGTGCAAAGGTGGTTGGTTTTCTCCCATATTACTTTGCTAAATTATTGCAAAAAAAAAAAATCAATCATGACTGTGTCTTTAGATTACTTTGTTTTTAAACTACATATTTTGTTTGTTTATGGTCTAATACATATATACAAAAAGAACATTTGTATGCCATTTTCCTCCAACAAGAACCTTAAGGGGAAGACTGAGGAAAGCAGTATGCAAACTGACTCCATTCTACTGCCTGAATGCCTTATTTATGTGTAGACCACAGATTTTTAAGGTGGGATGAGTGCTTTTCTCTCTCACCACAGAGCAGCTACAATGCAAATGCTTTTCTTCTCTCTCAGTCTATCTCAAAAAATAGCATTATTCGGCACAATCTTAACAGCTGGCCTTCAGGCAAGAAGTCAATGTTCCTTCATAGTTTCTTGACTCGTGCAGGAAAATTAGAGAATGATTCCGATGCTTTGGTCTAAGAACCATCTTGGTGACATTTCTTATTGGCTCTTCCAGAAACTCAGTTACCAGGAAGTATTATTATTGCTCCCTCAGGAAATGACTGACGTTTGGAAACCTAAAATAAGAAAGTACACTCACTCTATCAACATAACTAGAGAGGAATCTCCCCAAATAGTACAAATAAAGTAACTACAGAGATCTTTTTCTTCAATATAGATAGAAATGATCATTAACCATGATCTGTTCAATAAATAAATGTTTAACATCGGCCCTTGACTAAATGTGGGAGACATAAATCTCTCCAAGAAGTTAATTCATGTAGCTGACTCATTCAAAGATAATTAAGCTTTGCCTAACAGAATGCCATGCAAATGATTACAATAAGCCTGACAGGTACAAGGGGTACGTTCCTGAAGTAATAGACAATAATCTATTCTGCTTGGGAGACGAGCCAGGAACCGTTTCAGAGAGACACAGCTGGAGGCATCCCACGGGGAATCAGGATGCACAAAGACATGGAAGGCCAAGGTAACACAGAACGTTAAGAAACTATCCACTAAAGGAAGGTCAGAATGAGGTGCAGAAGAGTCTGGAGAAGGAGGTGGGAGAGACCTACACCTGTGGGTTGTTGTGTGTGTTTTTTCCCTCTGTGAGAACAAGAAGGCACTGAAGGGTTTTTAAGTGATCAGATTTACATTTCAGAAAAATCACTGACGTCTACATGGAGAGTGTTGGAAAAGGGAAAGACAAAAGACAGTCTAGTCGCTAACCAGTTTAGTCATTGAGGGAGGAGATGATAAAGGTTTGATAGAAGGCAGTAATGGTGGAGATGGGGTGGAGATGGGGAAAAGACAGAGCAAATGGCCAATTGATGGTCACTTGATATGGAATGTAGAGGTGATCTCACATTTCCGGTTTGAGTAGCAGGTTAAATAGAGGTGCCATTAACCAGAATAGGAAATCCAGGAGGATCTAATTATAGCTGATATGTATGCAGTGCTTACCACGTGTCAGGTGCATTCTAATTTGATCCTCATAACA